TAGAATTAAAAGCAAAACAATTTATTTTTGAAGAATGTTCAATAAAATAAGTATCATTCACAGCTGAAACCTGGCAACATTCGTTGATGACAATTTTTATGAATTAAATAATCTGCAAAAATTCGATCAACGATTAGTCAGATCTGTCAAAAATTGTAAATTAGATTTATGTCGACTTGGTGCAAAATTTAGAGCAAGTTCAAGTTGGCCATATTTTTAGGACATGAACGAGAAGATGTGGTGAAACACCGAGAAGAATTTGTCAAGTATTTTATTGAACGAGAATATCATTTTTATACGATTATAAATGATACCGTGCCGCAGTGGAAAATACCAAGAGCAGCTCCAACAAATTTCCTTTGTAAGTGCTTGTTCTTCTCTCTCAATCTCAAAACTGATTGATATGTTTATTTTTGCATTCTTCTATAGTAGGTCATGATGAAAGTACATATATGCCTGGAAAAATCACAGCTAAAAGATGGATCATGCCTGACAGTGCACCCTTTTACAACAAAGGCAAAGGAAGAAGTATAATGGCTTCGGATCTGTTAATTATGCATACAAATAGCTCATTCTTTTCGTTGGTCGACCAAGAATATGCACAAGCATTGAAAAAATATCCAAACTTAATTGATGATTGTGACGTAAATTATGAAAAGAATAGTGCTTCTGCTATAATCAATGTGAGTGGTGACAGTTATTTTAACAGTCAAAATATTCTAGTTTTTAATTATTACCATTCAAAAAAGAATATAAAGATCATAACTTCGTATACCTCGTCGACAATGTCAGAACACATACAGCAGCTGACTTTTATTTCAATAGCTTGAAAATGAAGCCGGGGAACAGATAACCTGTTAATAAGATCGATTACATTGATGAAAAAAATGACAAACAAACTATTAAATGTTATGATGATGACGGAAATAATAAAAGTTTACTGGCTTTGGCATATCAATCGAATGCTTTTTTTCCATGAAATAGTAAACTCAATGACTTAAAATTATTGTTGTCTAAACATGTAGCATTTAAAACCGTGAATAGAGATTCAGTTTTTCTATTTAGTGTGAGAAATGCCGCACATCTCTTGTTTACTCGTTTTCAAATTATAGGTTAGCAAACGTGAAAAATTAGCCGTTGAATATAATGTTTAAATAGTTTTTACGTTAAGACATCCGTAAAGTTAGCACCATATTCGAGTAAAACCTTCCCATATTCGTCCAGGAACGTGTTCCAAGTGTTTCAGTCCGGTTCCAAGTACAACTCGACGAGCTCTATCTAATGGTAGCCTTGGATCAATCGTAATCCAAACCATTCGTGAGAAAATCTCAAAATACCACCTTTTCACTATGTGTATGGTCACTAAAACCTTCCCATATTCGTCCAGGAGCGTGTTCCAAGTGTTGGAGCCTAGTTCCAAGTACAACTCGATGAGTTCTATCAATTAGTGTATACGGATCGTTCACGGTCCATACGCTTTCTCAAGAAATCGTGAAATAATGGTTTACCACCGTAAGACATAGAGCTATCCAAACTACAGTCTACGAAAAAAGTTCTGGGACAGTCAAGAATGACTTCCCAATATTTTATGTTTCATTCGAATCAAACTTGTTATATATGGTAAGTGTATTTATTCGATAAGCTTTTATACTATAGCATGTAGACGCAAAACTTCTGGTTTTGATATAAAAAAAGAAGAGAACAAAAACTGCCCAGCGGAAAAAAATTCTGGGATATATATAACAAACATCGAAAAATTAATAAAAATAACTCATGAATAAATAAAATTCAATAGTCTATACATTTACTATTAACTGCAATACATTTCTGAATTCGACGTGGCATTGAAAATACAAATTTTTGACATAATTGTGGTGTTATTGGTAACCATGCCTTTGATAAAGCTTCAATTAATTCTTTTACCGACGAGAGTGACTTAGATTTTAATTTATTATCTATAACGGTCCATAATGATTCAATAGGATTAAGAGCCGGACTTTTACTGGGCCGTTTTAATACTTTAACACCTAATTCATGAAATTTCATTTGAGTTTGTTTCGATAGATGATATTTGGAATTGTCATGTTGGCAAAAATAATTATTTTCCATTTGATATAATTGGACTGTTGGAATTAAATAATTATCTAAAATATCACAATAAACATCACTATTAGTATTTTCATTGTAAATTCGAAAACAATCAGTTCCTTCAGAAGTGATAGTACCATAAAAATCTACACGACCACCACCACCTGCAGCTGCCACATGCATACAACTTTCTTTCCAACGTTCATCTTTTGTACGCCATATTTTTGTTTTATTTTTACGTTTTATTACGTAAAAACATGTTGCATCACTAAATATTATATTTTTCCATTGATTAATGGTCCAATTTGAATAATCCAAACACCAATTAAGTCTATTTTTTTTAACATTCTTATTAAGAAATGGTTTTGTTATTTTAGTTTTATATTCATATCTACATCGATGCAAATAATTAATAATTGTTCTTGAAGTAACTGGACTGTTTAATGTGTCATTTAACTTGATAGCTATTTCACCTACCGAATATCGTTCACCTTTTTGTACTAAGCGCTTTAACATACGGATATTTCGTTCATTTAATTTTTTTGGTCTACCGGCACGTGGTCGATCTTGAAATTCACCTGTTTCTTCATATCGTTTTAAAGCACGTTGAAACAGATGATTTCGAAATACCAATGATAGTGCTAATTTCACGACAACTAATATTGACTTTACTCAATGCAACACATTGAGCTCGTTGATAATCACGACGACATGCTTGCGTCATGTTATTATGTTCAATAGAAATTTTTTGATGTTACCATCATTTCATAAGATACTTTAGTCAGCCTCTACACTGGCGACGCGGACACTGCGAACGCGGTCAGAACGAGCGAGTGATAACGAACGCATTTTGACTACGTTTTCAACGCATTTTTACTCATTCTGTCGTTCCGAACACAGTTTTTCTCCTTTCGTCTCGACCTGGGATTGAAAGAGTCGTGTCTCTCGCTTTCTAAATTTGTGTATATATGTATTTTTGTCGTTCTCTCGACTGAAGGGAAGGTCATATCATATATTTAATATAAATGTAGTCAGTAATAATACTTTGCATTCGGTCAATTATTCTTTGATAAATCTTGGCGACTACAACCAAAAAAGGATGAATATTAATAAACGAACACCAAAATCGAATTTAAAACTTCAGAGGAAGACAACATGCAACTGAAGGTGTCTTACGAATAATGACACTCGTGTATAGTAGGAATTTTTCAATAAAGAATAAATACAAAAGTAAACTTCATGCTATTTTTACACATGCTCAAATTAATCGTTGCAAGAAATCTAAATCAAATGAAATTAGTCATTTCAACTTTTTTCTTTACAAATGACAATAAAAATAATCTTAAAAAAAAAGAGTTGGATCTTTTTCTGTAAAAGTTTTATAATGATATTTTCATGCATCTTACTCTTCAAAAATAGCTGTCTATATTTTTTATTTCGTTATTAGTAGAATAACAAGAATTGTTTAAAGTGTTTTGCAAAAAAGAATAACATCTTTCAAAGATTGTGACAAACAAGAGTCTAGAAAAAAGAGAATTTATGCAGTGTAAATCGTTATAAAATAGAATTCAAGTGAAATTAAAAGACTAGCTTTGTAAAAGATGTCGCTTTCATTCATATATATTTATTCAAATATCGTCATCAAAAGTAAAGAAAAATGAAATCAAGAGGAGGGATCAATTGATAAAGAAAAAACTAGATACAGCAATCTCAATGATCGACTATATGTTAGAATCTAAAGAAATATTAAACCTTGAAAAAGTCTGTCTTTTCATTGTGTACGAAAAAATTGCAATTGAATTTTTTATTCTGTAGATGAGTATTAGCGAGCTGTAGCGCCTCTTGTTTCCTCGATTAGATCAAAATAATCATTACAACAAGAGATTTGAATATCCGATTATATATCTATATATACATAGACTTAGAATTTCATTCAAAATTTTAAGAGAGTCTTAGTCCCTTTTATTCAATGAATACTCGACCTACTTTAGTTGATAAAAAAAAAAGAACAAGCGAAGGACATTTAGATCATTCAAGTTTTCAGAAACACTTTCATGAGTTGATTCACTAACAATCAGACTAATTTAAATCTAGAAATCGGAGAGTTTTCACGGCTTATAATAAAAAAAAGAAAACAACTTTCATACTCTTATCAGTATTTGTCCGTGTTTTTATCCATTGAATCTACGATACAATCTTTATGTGACCTGTATATCCTATTCAAATGTTCAGAAACAGCATGCAAGAAGTTGCACTTGACGTGAAAATTGCACTCATAATATGCGAGAGGTAGGTTCAAAGTTAAAGATAAAGTAAGCGGAGTCTTCCATTGAAAAGAACACGATTGGTAGTGTATGAAGTAGAAATAGTTTTATTCCTGAGTAATATTGAACATTTTAGACATGTAAAATTATTTTTGCAGGAGTTAACTCGAAAATTTGTTGGATATTTGATGATGGAATACAACTTTATATAAACATGAGTCAATAGAAAACAAATTATCCAATTAAATATTAAAAGGTAAAGTACGATGTGCTCTCCTATCATCTGACCTTCATACTCCAAGAAATGGGATAGTGCATTCACAAACCATCTGCATTTTTTACTGAAATTCCGTAACACTTGGTTTCGCCGAGGGTGACTTGTCGGTGATGAATGTTGTGGAATGTATATGGTATGTGTATAAAACGAAAGTGTTGTCAAGTAGTCAACTGTATTACGCGAATGTTGTTGTAGATTATCACCAAACGAAGATAATTTGGAGAAAATGATTGTTGTTGAATTTCTAGGGATTTTTTGATAAGAGAAGAAAGCGATGGAAAAGTCAGATAATCTGAGACATCTGTATAGGTAATTCTGATTTGTTAGAAGTTTTGACAAATAACCGCAAAGTCTATAAATGATGAAAAGAAATGAAACGATCATTCGAAGAAGAATGCGAAAATGATGATTTAGCTGAAAGAATCGCTTTATCTTGTTATAATCAATATAATCTATTATCATCTCGTGGAAAACCTTCATCAAATGAATGGACACATTTAGCAGGTTTTGTTGGTGTTGAAGATGATAATAATATTCGTGTTCTTTCAATTGGTACAGGAACAAAATGTTTAGGTGGTGAAAAAGATGAACGTGGTACACAAGGTTGTTTATTACATGATAGTCATGCTGAAGTTATTGCACGAAGATCTTTAATGAAATTTTTTTATGAAGAAATTCTTAATGAAAATAATTCGATATTAATTAAACAAGAAAAAAATAAATTTTATTTAAATAAATCTATTCGTCTTTATTTATTTGTTTCCTATCCACCTTGTGGATCAGCTGCATATTTATCTGATCCAATAAAACGACCAAAATTTGAACATAAATCATTAAATTCATCAGGAGAAGAACTTTATTTAAAACCAGGCAAAGGTTATGCGACAACAAGTCTTTCATGTACAAATAAAATTAATCGATGGATTTATCAAGGAATTGAAGGAACTCTTTTAAATCAATTTATTATTTCACCAATTAATTTAACAAGTTTAATTATTCAAACAAATACGAATTTATCTTCAATATTTAAAAATATATCTGTTAAATCTGTGAATAAACCATTTGAATATGATCCATCATCTGAAAGAATTCGTCCTTGTCCAATGTCTATTGCTTGGTGGTCCGGCCTTGATATATCTTCTTCTGTAATTACAGTTGATGGACATTCATTAGGACAAATTAGAAAATTAAGACATAAACAACAATATGCAAGTCCAATAGCTAAATGTTCGTTATTTAAACTTTATCTTCAATTAATGGAGAATTTGTCATCGACAACAATAACCTATGCAGAAGCTAAAGCTCTTTCGTCAAATTCATTGAGAAATCAATTTATCTTAAATAATCCTCAATGGACAACAACTGATCCAAATATTTTTTATTCATTTACTCTCACTTCTACGTAAAATATATCGTCTTAATAACTTTTACAAAACATTTAATCCTCATATTAAAAGAAATTTTTCAGTAAATTTCGGTGATTTCATTGTATTTGTTTATTTTTTGTTACAATACATATAAACAAAAAATCTAATCTATTCAGAAAATTAGATATGCCAAGAATATTTAAAATGACGTTATGATTTATATTGAATTATTGTCTATAGATGATATTTCTCACAGTATCTTCATCTTCTGACATTTTTGAGACATCCAAATATTACTTACAAGAGAATCAACATTATCAACAAGAGAGAAAGAAGTACCAATTGATTTATATAATCTATTATTAGTTAGTCGAACAGTAACTAAACGAGAAATAAAAGCAAAAAAAACTTCATCCAGATAGAAATCCAGATAATAAAAAAAACTGAAAAGCTATTTTAAACAATTGTCAATCAAGCATATGCCATTTTATCTGATAAATATAAACGAGAACAATATGATAAAGATGGTTATGAAAGTCTTAACTATAATTATTACACATTTTTTTTGTCTTGTAAATGTTATTCTCATAGGTTAAACAATTATTTTTTCAATAAATCATTTTACAGATTTTTTTTTGCTTTCATAAAGATCTACAATAAGTTGAAAAGAATTTGATCAACAAAATTTTTCAATTTTTTCGAATCAAGTACAGAATATGAAATATTAAAATGTGCTGTCCCTATTAAATGACTACGTAATGTCGACGCATTCCTAAATGTTAATCGTACATCCACACTAGAGTTACCTCAGTCAATAGAACTCGATCAATTGGTTATAAGCATAAACAATGAACATTTACCTATATATACATGTGCCTATATTGATAAAAGTGTCACAGTCAATATTAAACTTGAATCTATCTAGTGTTCATCTTCTTGATCTATCTAATGAGATGTTATTCAATATTTTAAAGAAACTTGACAATGTTGACATTCTTTATTCGTTATTTAGTATTAATAATGAACAACTTGATAGTATAATACGAGAGGAGACTTTTTATAATACCCTCAACTTTGCATTGACTATTCAAAATACTACAGTCACTGATTCAATACTTGATCGATTTTGTAATTATATATTACCTTGAATTCATTACAATATGAAATGCTTCATTGTTGAATCAGCGTTCATGGAATGTATTCTTCGTGCTACTCATTATCCAAATTTGACTGAATTGAAACTTTCTAATTTTCAACGCGACAGTTCTTTACGTTATTTCACAGGTAAGCAAGTATTCTACATTTCATCAACTGAAAGATCACAGCACAACGATATCGAATAGAACAGATTATGCAACATTTCATTATTGTATGAATTTTAATTTAGATGATTCGTCCCTTCGACATACCTTCAAACAACAGATCACAAAACTTGATCTTATCAATAAAGATCGTGAGCGTGCGGTAGGATCATTGAGAGATTATATAGAAAGAGTATATGCGTATATTTTGACTTCCTTCAAAAATCTAAAGCATTTGTACGTGACTTAAACATCAATTTCTGCATATTCACGCTTGTCAGTTCGTTATTTACCATCAAGTACTTTTCTTCTTTAACCCTTACTTATTTATGTATTAATGCAGAAACTTTGACTGTTTGTCTTTACTTATTTGATGGTCGTCTCAAACAATTGAATACATTTATTGTTCGAATTTATTGTATGGATACAGATTCATCAATTGTCC